AGTAAGGGGAAACACACATAACAATGACGCCCATATGATAAGAAGTCAGGTGTTTATAACTGGGGACCATTTTGTCTTGCTAATTAGCTTTCTAAAAATATATTTTTATTAATGTTGTTTGTTTTGACATTCCCAAAATTTCTATTTTCCTCATTAATTTGCTTTGTCTTCCTGACTGCAAGCTTCTTGAATGCAAGGACTGTAGCTTATATTTCTTTTTATCTCCCACAGTGTCTTGCACAGTGTTAGGTACATAGTAAGTACTCAGTAGATTATTTGATTGATTAGCCACCAGTGACATAGCTAAGGTAATGATCATCCTAAAGCAAAGAACTGACCATGTTACTTACCTACTCCCTGAACTGCAGTGGCTCCCTAGTATCTCCAGAATCCAATATAAAATCCTGTTATTGTTTTAAAGCCTTTTCTAACCGAGGCCCTGCCTGCCTTTCTAGTTTCTTACACTTACTCCCCTCCGCATACTCTACACTCTACCGACACTGCCTCCCTGCTGTTCCTTACACAAGCTCCTTCCTCATCTCCCCACTCTGCATTTGCACTGGCCGTCATCCGTGCCTTCACTGCCCTCCCTTTTTGTCTCTGCTAAAATCCTAGCTTGTGTAAGAAGCCTTTCCCTACCACCCTAATGCTAGTTAGTGCCTTCCCTTTGAGATTACCTCGTTTACTCTGGATATTTCCTATTTGTACATAGTTCTTTGCATGTTGTCTCTCGCACTAGACTTTGAAGTCCTTGAGGGCAGGCACAATTTTTGCCTTTCTTTGTATCTCCAGCACTAACAGAGTGCCTGGCACATAGTGAGGACTTGATAAAATGCCTGTTGACTGACGTGATCCAAGGAAGCTGTCTTTTTTTAATTACCTGTCAGTTCAGTAGTAGGTCATCCCTGATGGATCAAAGAAATAGATATCCCTCCTTTTGAAGTACTGTCCTGTGTATGTGGACAGTTGATGACCTGTAAAGCAACAGCAGCAGCAGTGTACAGTTGCTGACTTAGAGAAAGTGATGATAGTGGTGGTAGGCCATGTACCAAGGAGGATGATGGCCAGGAAGGATACCGTAGCTTTGATGCCTCTTTGCTGGATTCCTAGTTTAGCCTTGGCTGAATCAGAGGGCGAATATAAATAGTGGAGTGTGGCCCTCTTCCAGTACCGAAAATTGTACCCCTCTAAATCCAGATATGCTTCTGGGTCAGGTTCCAGAATATGGCCCACACCAACTCCTTAGCTCAGCCTTAAGAAAATGGATTACCAACTTTTCAGTGGGAGAGACATTGTGGTTAATTTCCCCTATCTTTTTCCTTTACAGGAAAATTCAGCCATCCTGAAATAGTCCAGCTTGTTTCTGAACTTACAGCAGAAAGAAATGCTAAAATTGCTACAGGAACCAGTGAACCTCACCCTTGAGGTGTTTTTTTTTTTTTAAAGCTTCTGTAATCATGTAATAAATATTTTATTTTATGATTAAGTCTCATGGCGTGGTGTGTTTGCCACTATAGCACTGTTGATTTCCCCAGGTGTAAGTCTGTTTATTTTCATTTTCCATGGGCTCCAGTGAGAAATGAAAGCTCTGTCTGGATATAAAGTATGTTCCAGGGACCAGGACTGTAGGGTCCTAGAGACCAAATGCTATATGTGGTGGTTGGAGCTATCTTTATTATGAACAGCAAAAAATCAAAATTTATAATTTCTGCTAGAAGCTATAAAGCATGTTTTCTTCTGAATTTGGAGCATATATCCCTCCAGGCCAAACTCATTAAAAGACAGAAGGATATGTCACTGTGTTCTGATGCTGGGGGAAAGTTTAATTATTATTGTCTCTAAGGCACAGATCCTTCAGCAGAGCATTGGCTAATGATGAGTGACCAAGAAGAGAAGGAAATTACATTGATAATATTCTTTTTCTTTCCAGATGAACCATTTCCTTTTTATTGAAACACCTGTTGCCTTAAATCAAATTTTGAATTATGATCTGGGCTCTGATTTGTGCCTGTGATCATAGAGTAGATGTAGAGCCTTTAAAAGGTTGCTTTTAAATTCAGAGCCAAGCAGGGAGGATAAAATTTTTAAAATGCCTCTATGAATTCTTTTCAGTTCCTCTTTTCCTGATTCAGACCTTTTGATTTTGAGTTAACTTTCATCAGATAAACAGAAGAGTGGAACTGAATATTGATATGATGATATGATTATTGGGCATCTTATAGAAAAAACTGGCTCCCTTCAATCTTTTCAACTTCTCCATCAAAAGTGGCAAAATGTAAGCTCTTTCTCAAGGAGTTGACCTGAGTAGGGTAACTAATGCCTCTGCTTGCCTTTAAAAGCCTTGTACGGTGATGAAGGTAAGTTTGCTTTTGCAGAACAAATTAAAAGTATTGCTTGAAACAGTGATGTTTATCTTTTGTCCTTGAAATTCAGATGTTGGGTTCTATTTAAAGATGGCCGATTGGCTAAGGTAAGAAAATGATATAGAACTTACAAAGTGATAGCGTCCCTGGATACAGAGGCTGCTGCAAACAAGGTATCTTCTTTTTGGTATTGTATGTCTATAGCTGCTCTCCATCAACAATCAGAAAGAATGAAGGTGATTATTATTGGAGATACTATTTAATGAGAAAACAGAACTCCATCTGTCACTTGTCACTTTTTTTTTCTAGTTGGCTACATGCACATAATTTTCCTTTGATAAAGTCAATATAACCAGGTCTCTCTGTCACCTTAGAGCCTAGTTTGTGTTACTGGCCAGTTAATTGTTATCATTTCTTTCCTTCTGCTGAGATCTTGTGAAACTGTGTGTAGTGTTATGGATTAACAGAGTACATTCTAATGGAAAGTGACACAGTGGATAGAACACTAAACTTGGAATCACAGAGACTAGAGTTCAAATCCTGACACTAGCAGTATGCATGGGTAAATCTTTTCATCTCTGTCCTGCACTTTACTCATCTGTAAAATGAAGGGGTTGGACTCAGTAGATTCTAGGAGCCCTTCCAGCTGTAAAGCTCCAGGCCTACAAAAGTCCCAGGCATTTGTGTTTTTCCCTATCTCTTATTAATTGTTCTGTTGTCTTGGTTAAGGTCACTTAATTTGATTCCTTGAAGCTTGTCCTAAACCTTTTTTCATTGAGATTGTGGCTATAAATAAATTAGGATAGCCATATAAAATATTTGATAAAATGAAGAAGCTTAACAGCAATAGATAAATTTCTTGGCTAAAAGGAAATAATAATAGCTAACATTTGTGTAGTTTGAAGCTTGTAAAAGCATTTCACATATTCATTTGATCCCCACAACAACCCTATAATACAGAATTATAGAATATTGGTGTGAAAAAGGACGTTGGAGACCACCTGATCAACCCCCAACCCTTTAGAAAAGAAACCTGAAGTCAGAAAAGTGAAATTCCTTGTCCAAAGTCACACAGCCAGGATGAACCTTAGAACTGAGCCCCCATTACTTAGACTGGTGTGTTATCAACCCCACAGTGCTGCCTTCCCCAAGCACAAAATGTTACCTATTTTCCTCAAAAAAAGGCCTTTTTCTCTTTTTTTAGTAAGTTTTAATAGGGTTTACTTAGAATACAAACAATTTCATTTGGGTTGCATCCAATATGAAATAAGTAGTTTTCTTATTGATATTCCCCATATGTTCATATTCTGTAGGCTACTATTTATGACTCTGGAAATGTTAACATAATTCTGAAAGCCTGTGCCATTGAAAATCTTCATGCTGGTATACAACCTCCATATCTTGCCCACCTCTCTGCCTGGTAATGAAAACACATGGTAAAATGAGTTGCAGAGCTAGGAAATGTTTTGGGAAAAGAACTTCCCAGATTCTTTACTGGTGCAGCTCAAATACCACTTTCTACATAAAGCCTTTCCCAATCCTGTCCCCCCCCCTCAATTGCTAGTCCCTTCCCTTCCTACCAATTATTCTGTGTATATTTATACGCATACATGCCTTTTCCTCTAATAGAATGTAAGCTCCATGAAAATATGGGTTCCTGCATTTTTTGTCTTTGTATTTCCAGTAGTTAGCACAGTTCCTGGCACACAGGTTGCTTGTTATTTGGTTGCTGGTTGGTTGATGTGGCTTCTCCTAGCCTTAGTTTCCTAGTCTGTAACTTGATAATATCTGCACCAAGAGAAACTGCTTTCAAATACCAGTTCTGCCACTTACACCCCTGTGGACCACATTGGGCAAGTCACTTGATCTTTCTTGGCCTGTTTCCTTATATATAAAATGAAATGGTAAAAGTAACCTTAGGTCCCTTCCAGCCCTAAATCTGTGGGTCAATTCTATGGCCAAGGTTGTATTGAAGATTAACTGTAGAATACTATCTATCTAAATGTCAATTCTTATGATATTCACACACAGCATCATAAATTTAAAACTGGGACTGACCTCTTCTAAAAACATCTAGTCTAACCCTCTTGTTTTATAGATGAGGAAGCTGAGGACCAGAGAGATTAACGAACTTCCCCAAAGTTATAAAGGCAGTCAATAGCAGAACTGGAATTTGAACCCAGGCCCTCTGACTTCAAATCCAGTGCTCTTTGCTTTATATCACTCTTATACCTTTCGTTGTAGGTCACGTTCAAAGGTGGTGTTGACGTCGTTTTCTGTGCTAGATTAAGCCATCGATGTATTGGATATTTTTATCACACTGAGTTTTGCATAAATCACTTGATTCTCACATTTTGCAACTCTTGAGCCTCATTTTGTTCATTTGCAAAATGGGGATATATGTGTGCTACCTTCAAAGAATACTTGCACAAGTATTCTCTAAAGGTGGCACATCAGGGTTGTGAGGAAAGTGCTTCATAAACCTTAAAGTACTGTGTGAATGTGAATTATGAATGGGTAGTATCATGATTTGAAATTAAGATCAGTAGGAAATCTGACAGCAAATAATTTTTCCATTTATAAATCTTAGGTAATTAAGCTTAAAAAAAAAAACCAGTCACTAAAAATTGTGATTGACATTTTAATTAGAATTTAGAAATTTTACTTGAACACTTAGTTTGGCAGAAATGATTTTACATAAAACTCCAATCACATGACCTCCACCCACCACTTTCCTCTCACCATTATCATCCTCAGACACCAATTCCTGAATGGATGAAGGTATTTATGCGTGTTTCAGTTTGCCATATTTATTTACCTTAGTGCAACTGAACTTGAAAAGTTCCAGTTGACAGAAAATTTTGAAACTACGAAGAGTACAGGAAAAAAAAAAAAAGTATCTTGGGCCACAAACACTCTTTTGATTTTAACTACTGTGAACAGTGCAGTATTTCAGAATTCCTCTAATAAAGTGTACAGGTCGTTATACTTTATATGATTCTGGATCAGATTTATAGGGAGATACACAATTCAGTGTGGATGCCAGGTACTTTGCTGGCATAACTCATCATTTTGATGGGGCATATGCTATAAAATATAATTGAAACATAACTTTATGACTAATATTTTCCATTGCAAGAGTTGTCTTTAAAAATTGGTAGGTGTCTGCTTCTGCAGTGTGTTTAAGGTTTACTCATCTGAAGCTATTTAAACGGGTATCACTTTGAGAACAAAGTATTGAATTGTAATTTTGATTTTTAGTGAAAGTGAAGTTTGTGGCCAGATGTACTTTAGCTTTTCGTATTTTCAAAAGGATAACTTAAATTTTTTATATAACATTCTAAGAAGCAAGCACAAGAAAAAGGCATTTTATGTATATGTGTTTCAAGAAAAACCTGTGTTAAGATGTAAGGAGTAAAGAACCCAACAGTAGACATGCAGAAGAGGTTCAGAAAAGGAGGCAGGCCTTGAGAGACCAGGTAGTAAGGACATGAAACCTACAATCTGACAAGCAACTGGTCTGATTTTTTTTAAAGCTAAATTGTTATCAAAATGTAAATACAATTTGGGGAGCTAAAAAGGTTAGCTGAAGAACCATATGCTGTTTATATAGCAAAGCCTCACTAATTGGAGGGCGGGGTCCAGTGAAAACTCTGCATTGGGGGTGTTTAAGAAACAGTGGTCCTTTATTACTGAAATAAATAATGGGAATCGGAGTAACTGCTAACCATGTAGCTGAGGAAAGATCCTATTTTAATGAATAGTGGATTTTAATTAGTAGCATCCATAGATTGTAAATTCCTCAGCAGTTAGTACAGTGACTTGCACAGCTAAGGTGCTTAATTAATGTTGAATGAATTGGGAATAGTTAATGTGCTAGAGTCCTTACAAACAATTCATTCCCCTAAGTAAATTAAGTACTCCTTGAATCTTGCTGATAAATAGTGTAAACAAAAACCCCAGCCCTGCTCTGGTTGAATTAAAGAGTCAAATTAATGACATTTTACTGATTTGATATGAAAACATGAACTTTCCTACACTTTCATAAAAAGCACTAAAAGTTAAGAAGCTTAGAGTTATGAATGATAGGCTGAAAGGAACTAAAGTGGAAAATATGCCATGTTCCTTTTGGCAGTATCCTCGAGTACATAATACACTCCTGACTGGTTTAGGACTGAGGCCCTAAATCCTTACAGCAAAGTACCAGTCACACAGATGTGTATACCCCAAACAGCCTGATTATTACATGTTAACAATCACTGATTTTATTTTGCAGATTATATACCCATCTCTAATTAGCACTGAATGAAAAAAATTCACCAATTAGTAAACTTTTAATCCTTTTTATATAGTTTTTCTAAACTGGAAAATTTTAAATATACTGCAGTCATAAATTAAGGTGGGGGATATTTTAGTGAAAAGCATATAACTTCCATTAGAGGGGGACAAAAGGAAAGTATAACAGTAGTTAGCAGGCATTTAATTTACTCTAGGAAATCTGATGTTGATATTATATTAATTTAATACTACTGGGATCAAGGGGTCATAGAACTATACTTCCTCTATTTCCCCATGGAAAATAGCCTATTTTTGAAGTGAAACAGCTGCCCTTTGACCTGAATAAGTAGATTATAGAAGATTTCAGAACTGCAGATTCTATAAAAGTAGCTCAGGGTGGCTGAAAAATCATAGCATAATGACGTATATCTTTTATCATGCCCAGGAATGGAAGTGAAAATAAACTTGGAAATGAGATTTCCAAGATAACTGTATACTTGAAAAAAGTTTAAAAATCAAAAAAGCCTCGTACTTTCAAAATCATTTTGCTAATCCCTTAAATAACCAGTTTACACGTAAACAACAGTTTACATATGTGCCAGGGCTGGGAGGACACAAGTAGCTGAGTGGACATTTGGTATACTTCATATAGCTGAAAATGGGTACGTAAGTAGCAATTCCACTGTCTACTGGACTGTGCCCAGAGGGAAAAAAAAAAGTGCAGTGGGGTTTTAAGGACCCACACAGCAACAGACACACAGGCACATGCTGAAATAGCCAAACAAAAAAGGAAAGCAAAGCAAACCAACAGGACAAAAAGGTTAGCACTTGGAATGGCAGAAAGGCGCTGTGGCCAGTTGCATATCTGCTAATTAGAGAAATTTAGAACATTCTGAGCATCACATTCCGGGCATGTTTCCTGCATCCACAATGACTAAATGGTTTGTTTTTAAGTACAAATATGGATGGAATTTTTTTCAAAAGTACAACACTGTAGAGAGGCTTTTTGGCCTTCACATCTGGCTATGAGAAAAGTGACAGAACCCATAGCATGGACAGGGTGGCAGCTTCAGGCTGTAGCATGGTCCCCCTGGGCCTCTTTAGCACCGAAGCTCCCCTTCTTTCTCAGGTACCCGAGGGGCTGATGCAGCACTCTGTGCGCTTGCGTGGGCTGTGGAACTGAGCACTTCTTCAAAATTCCCTCCACTGGAGGTGCCTCCTACTTTCGTCTGAAAAAAAGAAAACGAGAGGATAGGGAAACCAAGGTAGGCAGCAGTTCCAATTTCATTTTATCAACATGCTTCTTTCCTTACACTGGACCTAGCAAAAAGTCTCCTTTAACAGAATGTGTATTTTAGGGGGTAGGTTTCCCAGCTTCATTTTACTGTAAATATTTAATCCCAAGCTTTAATAGTGAAAAGGGAGGGGATAAGGTAAGGGACCATGATGGAGGAGGGGTGACAGCAGAAAGGTCCTCTCTCCTATCCCTCTTAGGTTCTATTTCCCAGGCTCTTCTCCAAAAATATCACATTTACAACCTTTTCAGTTTCCAATTTAAATGAACTTCATATTTTCTCCCTCCCCCACCTATTTTGCAATTTCATAAATTGAAATGGCTAGAATTCAAGTTTTGTATTCAGGTGCTAACTGGAAGGATCAGGCTTCTTAGCATGGAAAACTCAACTTCTGGCTATGGACCTGTGACTCACTCAAAAAGGTCTCTTGTTTGTGGGCTAGAGTTAAAATACTGGGTTTTACTACACACAGCCTTCTGGGTGGCTTTTCAAACCCATCTATTTGTTTTGTCTGTTTGCATATTTATGAGGGCCACATAAATCTACCACCCTTCCCCCAACTCCAAGGCAGACAGCAAGAAGCCTTTGACTTTTTTTGAGGTTATCAGTTAAAAGCAGTGGGGTTTTGGCGGTTGGGGAAATAGAGAAATATTAAGATGCAGTAAGAGAGTTGAGTGTTGTGTTAAGAGCTTTTATGACTTAAAGTTCTCTATGAATCTTAAGTTTCCTTGGACCCTTGTGTCAAGTACAGTACAGTATAAAAAAATACTTCTGGTTAAAGGAGATTAACAAGGATGTGTTTTTTTAAGATTTTATGATCAACTTTTAAATTTATAAATGGGCCAGATCCTGCCCTTTCCAGTTGAAAACCAGATTTATAAATATATCATCTTACAAGCCAATAGGCTGCCATTTAGAACAGTATGAAATATGTAATGGGTACCCTAATACCCCTAAAGACTTAATGGGTGTCTCAATGGAGCTGACACATTCACAAGACATAATAGCATTTAATAGTGACACTGGTACTTCTGCAGCTATTAGCAAATGTGGGAAAATACTTCTTGGCAAAAAGCTGTGCTTATTGACTTTGCCTGTTACCACATTTCCTTCTAATCCTTTTATAACTTTGGATGTATCCATGCTTATTCAAAAGGTAAGAAAAAAAAAAAACTTTATAAAAACAACCAAACCAGTAGTCCTTATATCTTAGCTCCATATTTATTAGATTTAATTATCCTGCCATGCTATATTAGGGGTATGTGGGAGGTGGCAGGACCTATTCCTCCTTTCTGCTGCAGTCTTCTCACTGAAGCATAATATTACCTCCCCTTGGGTGTTTTCCCATTGTTCCTTCCTTCTTCCCCGAGAGGAGATGAGTAGTAGCCATACTGCCCACCCAAGTAACTCTTTTCTTTAGTTGCCACTCTGGAGTTTGAATTTAATTCTCTTGCACAGGATGCAACAAGTAGTAATATTATGACTATATATTTATATATATATACATATACATATATATGTGTGTGTGTATACATATATATATATGTTTATATAATATATATATTTGATGTTGTTGTCAGTTTAACTCTTTTTCTCCCATCTCTCCCTCAGTATTGTTCCCTCAAGCCAAAAGCAGAAAGAAAGGACAAGAGTTAGCATGTAAGGCCAGTCAGTCCTGATGACCCTAAGAAAAGGAAATTTTATAAAGCTCATTCTTTCACCTTATTTACTTATAAGATGGCTCATACTCGGGCTGTGATGGACTTGAGTAATTTAGGCGCAGCTGCACATGAGTGCAGTGATGTGGACTAGATGACAGGAACAAGAGAATAACACTTTCTGCAATTAAGAATATTCTGTCACCCTGCCCTGATGTTTACAAATTCCCTTTGCATAAGATGTCATTTGTATTACCAAGAAAGACAAACTAATCTTTTATGAAAGACAAAAAGGGCTGATAGAGCATGGGAATGTAATAGTTTTACTTTGGGTTGTTTTAATAAGGTTTTCAATTCTGCCTCTTTGATATACTTCATTACTTCTGTCCACATGACATATTCATCAATAAAAAAAGGAAATATGGGCTTCTTTAGGTGAGTGTAGAATTGCTACAAGAGCTATAGTTATCGATAGATGATTCACTGTCAACCTAGGACAACATAATGAATATAGTTTCATAGGAGATGGTCTTAACATTTTCCCAGTGACCTGAAAGATGAAATAGAAAGCAGTCTCATTAAGTTTACAGATGATATCTGGCTGGAGTAAGATAAAATGGTGCCTTGCAAGGACAGGAACTTAATTTTAAATGATCTTGATGAATTAGAGTTATTTGGAAGCAAATATAGAATCAACCTGAAAAGAGGAAAGGTGACTATGTGCAAATGCCACATGGCAAATGCCACAGTCTAAGAAAGTATGGTAGAGGTAGGCCTTCTATTTATAGCACAGTACAAGCCAAATGTCTGTAGTATGGTGGCTGATTTTTTTTTTTTTTTTTTTAAAGAATATCACATGAGGATGTGTGAATAAGAATACAGAATAGCATTGGTGAATTGACTCACAAGTTTGTCCCCTCACAGACCGCAATCTTGGGGTTCACAAACTTTTAAGAGGAATGTGGCATTCTTGGAGGTTTGGAGAAACAAAAGATGATTAAAAATGGGAGATAGCTACAAGAATAAAGGTTAGAACTACGATTATTTGGTGGGGGGTGGTAAGGAAGGAAAGAGGATGACTTTGTAATCAAATATATGAAGTTATTATTAGAGAATGATCATTGACTATTTTCCTTTGATTGCATCAACAGAAGAAAAAGGAACAAGGAGACAGTGTTACATATAAGGCTTGTTAAATAGTGAGAAGCTAGGGCAGTTAGAGAATTTACTTTCCACAAAGCTTTCTTCTTATAAGACAGATCTCAGTAGAATGAGTTAGTTATAGGTCTACTTGAAAGCAGAAGATGGACTAGATAATCCTTCAATATTACCTCTATAAATGGCAGTGAGAATGCTATTAATTTATCTCTATTTAGGAGTATAGCAAAGTAAGAGATGCTATAAATGGGGCTCAAACATTTAAGAGTATGTGGGCATACCAGCATTTCCCAATAGCAAGTGAAAATAGGATTGTTCTTTATTCTTCTTTTGTTTCTTCATATCCCCTTCTCTTTCTAATGGAAACCTAAAAAGTACAACTTCTCCTGTATCAGAACTTCACTACCAGTATGTAAAACCCATTTGCTTGGGAGTATCTAAAGGTATTGATAAAATGTCTGAGATATTGATTTTCTGGGTTCTCTCAGCCTTTGGCACAGTGAAGAGCTGAAATTACTGCTATAGTAATAGAGGACTATGAAATGAAACCAAGACTGAAAGAAAACCCATCTCTTAATCTGTGTAAGCTCTGTCCAAGGAAGGCCCAGGCAACGTACTGGATCCTAAGGTCCCTAGCTAAGTGGTTCATTGTGATGAGAATGACAACCAGAGATGAGAAACCTAGCATAGTGCCAATGATTTTGGTGGTAAAAAGGATTAAAACATAATATTGATTTCTTTGTTGGACCATATATACTTATATAGTAAAAAGGTGCAAAATGGACCAATGGAAAAGGGCCCTTCACAATAATAATCAATAGTTCCTCTATGAAGGAAAAGTATCAGTAAAATTATAATCTTATGTTATCAGTCTCTCAAATGAATGAAATTTCTTAAGTACAAAGTAGATGAATGACCAGAATCAGAATATATTTTCCTTTAATAGAAAGATGCTCTGCAGTAGCAACTGGAATATATCATAAAAGTGGCCTTGGGGTAAGGATGGGAATGCAAGTATCTGGACTTGCGATTCATCAGGGAAATGGGGGTGTGGAAATCACTTCTACTGGTACAAATTCACAACTCTTCTGTTGCTTTCAGTCTTAGAAAATTATCTGGTGCAACTACGAATTTAAGGGATTTGCCCATAGTAACATGACTAGCTTGTCAGACTCAAAGGCTTACCCTCTTCACTGTAGTTTATTGCTTTTCTTTATCATTCTTTTACAAAACATTAATAATTACATGCCACACATTGTGGCGGAGTGGAAAAAACACTGAGTTTGGAGTTGGGAGACCTTGATTTGAATGCCAGCTGACTTTTCACTGTGGTTAAATCAGTTGTTAGCTCCATTTATAAAATGAGGATAAAACTATGTGATTGTTGTGAGGAAAGCATTTTATAAAAGCAAGAGTATTCAGCCTGGGTTATATGTAATCCAAGATGGTATGAAAAGCTTCTCAAGGGATAATTAATAATTAGTAAATAACTATATCACCTATTGAAATTTATTTTTTTCCTCATGTGCACAGATTTCATTATTTAAGAGAAGATACATGGGAAGGTTTACTGAAAGCCTAGGGATACTAAGACCAAAAAGAGTAATATAATAAGATATGTAAGATAACATACATACAATTGTTTACATACTGAATTTAGTTCATCTTAAAAAGAGCTCACATGCATATTCTTCTAACAAGTTCTCTTATGTTCTTTTTTGTTCTGCAAAATGGGGCAACACATCTACACTCACCCATTCCAGACATTTCACTTCAATCCCTGGGCTGAATTTAGTTAGCATTACAAGAGAACGTACTCTGATCTAGTTACATTCTTCTACCACCTAGTCCTTGATTAGTACAGGGAGAAGGTGACTTGGGAAAACTGATGGAATGGGGACACATAGCAGCAACAAGCTAGCTCATTTCCATTTGTCATTACACTAGACAAAGAGCTTTTGAGGTGTCCCCTCTATCGCAGATTTCCAGAATCTAGATTTTTATACCCTAGATTTTAATATCCTGTATTCAAGCACCCACTTTGTGTATGGGGCATCCTGGGGACTGTAACCTAAGAGAAATAGGTGAAGTCAACAGGGAAAACAATAACTCCACTTAAAAGAACAATTTGACATTCCATGTCTCACTCAGACCAATTCTTCAAGAACTGATTGGTGCTGGTCCATATTAACATTACTTGTAACAAGGTCTGGCTTACAGCAGCTCTGCCCTTATGCTGCAAGGCCTCCTGGATGGTATAGTATAGGGTGCTTGCCTACTTTGGCATGAGTGGCACCAATGACTGGGCTGTCCCCACCTAATAGACTCATTCACATGATTTAGCACTTAATCTGTACCTTAAGGCTTGTGACAGTTGTCTCAACCCTCTCCTCAAATGATTTGAAAGTAGGAGAATTCCTAAAACATAATAAAAAAAAAAAAAAGAGAGAAGTGAGCTCCACAGATCTAGTTGTCCTAGCAACCATGCTGTGTGATTTGCTGCTTTTATTAGTAAATAGTGGAGGTGCAGAGGAGAAACCACTTGTCAATTTACCATCCATCACCAGCTATGCTTTAAAGGTACCTTGTGCCACTGCAACTCCCAAGCACACTCAAGAGATCCAGAGACTAGAAGCTGATGAGCATTTTTAAAAACTAATCAAGCCAGTGGGGCACTAAACTGTAGAATAATTAAAATTGAATTTGCAATATTATGTTGGTTAACTATTCCAGGCAGCAACTTAAATGGCTTCCTAGGAATCAAAAGGACCAACAGCCTCAAATACACACAATTCAAACTTCAGTCACAATAGAGATTTTTACCACTACCATACTTTTGGCCAGGCTACAGAAAAAAGAATAAATTGAAAATAACCTCATTTGAATTTTCTCAATTAAAAAAAATTGGATATTTATCCCTTTAATGAAAAAGAAAGAATGTTAGACTAGTTCAGGAAAAAAAGATTATCACAAAAGATTCCCTTTTCTAATGCTTACAGCAGCTGGGCAACCTTTCCTGAGAGATCGGTTTCTGCTGTTGCTAGAAAGTAATGCTCTAATTCTTTAAAATGAAATATACTAATTGTCCAATGATATGTCAGACATTTTTTTAAAATTTGGTTTTGTCCAGGATTGTGATTTCATCAGTACAGGAACTCCCAGTGTAGAAACTCTCTCCATCCACAATTAGACAATGCTTGGGGCAGTGAAAGGTTAAGTGACCTGCCCTGAGTCAGAGTGTTTGAGGCAGGATTTGAGCCTAGGTCTTCTAGACACCCAGGCCTGCCCCTCAATCTCTAATATCAATGCTACCACCCCCTATCAATGGTTATCAGCTATCCCTGTTTCAGATTCCAAAAGATCTATCTCTTCTTTCACTAAACAGAATGCATGCAGCTCATATTAATTGCACTGAGATGGGTAGACAGCATAATGGATACTTGTACTTGAAGTCAAGAAGACCCAAGTTTGAATCTTCTCTAGTTCTGTGATCCCAGGCAAATCACTTAACCTCTCTCAGACTCAGTTTGGTAAAATGATGATGATAATAACTGCACCTATCTCACAGGGTTGTTGTGTAAGGATCAAATGAGGTAATATGTGAGATGTTTTGCAAACCTTAAAGAGTTATATAAATGCTAGTTATTATTGTTTTTTCCACATGCACATACACACCACATTCCTTTGTGAAATAATTCACAAGAGGCTTTGCCATTTGGTCATAGAAAATGTGTGCCAACTGAATAGGATACAGTGGTTATAACCCATTTATGGTAAAGAGATAAAAACAGAATTTATTTCCAAACTGAACATTTTTGCCTTTTTCTTTTTAACTGCTAAAAATAAACCTTAAAAATTGCACAATGAATATTATAAATAGTTGGGATGCTAGTCTACATTCTCTGTCCTATAGCTGGAAAAGCTAAAGTAGAAAGGACAACACACAAAACTGAGGGTTTGGGGACAGAGCTTTAATATGTAAGTTTTCCCCATGTAATCTGATATAAAACAAAACAAAAACAGGGCACCTTTTTCCTGGTAACTAAAGGGAAAATAAAGAAAATGTTTTTCTAAAAATTATTTTAATATTGCAGAGATCACTGTTAGAGTAACAAATGTTTCTTTTCAGTAAACTTCTATACCCAAATAGCAAGAAAAGGGGCTTAAGCCCCAGTTATGACACAGGGTAGGGAATTCAATTCGAGTGTGTTATCACTCTGGGAAAGGTTAGTTGTTCAAGTCTGGTGATGATGGCAGACTTGATGGCAAACTTGAATCTATGCTCTGTCCTTCACCAAATTAGCAAACCGAACAATCTTACTGTATCCCCAAAACAACCAATTAAACTGTATAGCCTCAAGTAATGTGAGCCAGCATCAGAAATCACGAGAGAAAATCCCCTAATTAAGTTACCTTTCTGTACAAGATGAAGAACATGAGGGAAATTATTTAATCAGATACTTCTGTTTTGTTTGATTTCACCAAATTGAATCACTAGGTCACACAAACATGGAGGCCAACTTCCAACTGGAAATAAGAGCCTTTTCCACAACTTTGTAAATCATTTTCACCTATATTTTCTTACCATTTTCATTTTGAAGTGGATATGTCTATTAGTATTGTTATGTGAACTTGACCCTTTAAACCCTTGATAATACACAGTTTGGGGAGCCTTCTTTGGGAAACGGCCCGTTTCTCAACTCTGGGTTGAGCTTTTGCCCAGACTGGAATGTAATGCACTCATTCCTACCTTACCTCTGCCTTTCAGAATTCTTTTTTCTCCTGTAATCTGATGGTGGTTCCAAAGCTACTTCTTCTTTAAGGCCTTCCCTGTTTTCTTCAGCTAAAAAGCTTCTCTTTCCTGCCAAATCTTCCTAGAACTTCTTTGGATTTCTTCTTTGCCCCCATCACACCCTACTTTACAATAATATTTATCTGCTACATGTCTGTAGAACCTAAATTACTTGAAGGCAAGAACTATGTAATTCTTATCTCTATATTCCTAACACAGTCACTTTAAGTCCTTAATAAATTCCTATTGATTGGTTGATACTTTTCAACCTACTTTCCCTTGGCTGCTTAAGAATACTGGAAACGAGATTGGAAAAATCAGGTTATTATTGTTATTTTATTATTATTATTATTGTTGTTCTCTTTCACAAAGAGAAAACAAAATAAACACCAAACAGTAACTCTATACACATTTACATTGACATATAAAAATATCTTAAGCACGTTACCTCATAGCAGGCATACTTATGGAATGGCGGATAGAATAACTTCAGTGAGAAAGCAGATGAGGAGAAAAAAGAAAACATTACCGTAAGTACAGAATACCCTCTACCAGTTCAGTTAGCATTTTCAGATACATGCAGTGTACCATGCCAACCCACCATCAGGACACTGTTTTTATTGAGCGCTGTGGGTGTCTGGATCCATTTGTAAAGATGACAAAAGTGAATAGACAATAATGGATCGTTGCATGCTCTTCTGAATAGACTACTTAAGATATCCATACAAGTGTGGACTGCTGCACATCTCAGCTCCTCCCAGGCAGGTCTACTTGCCAAATCCAACCTCTCTAGTCCAACCTTGTTTTTTCCTGGAAGGTAGAGATTTTAGGAAAGAGAAGGATGGCTTCAAAGCTAGGATAATGTGCTCATTAGCCAGGTGAAAGAAATGAGAGAAAAAACAGTCTTCACATATTTCACAATTTACAGGGGTCTCTACAAAGCTATCCCTACCAAGTTATCTAAATGTTGTCTTCCCCAGTACACAAAGTGAGATCCTTGAGGGCAGGGACTATGTATTTGCCTTTCTTTGTATCCCTAGTGCTTTGCAAAGTGCCTGGCACATAATAAGCACTTAATAAATGCTTGCTGATTGACTTGTTCACTGACAGATGACCTCTTTCTCTACAAATGTCCAAACTTCTGTTATCACAATCTTGATACTATCTAACAAAACATCAAAGGGCATTTACTAATATGCATGGGCTAGAGACACTCTTATCTGCCTTTTAACAGGATACCATTGAAGACAGGCTGCAACAGTAGCAAATTAAGACCCTTGGAAGGCCCCTTGACTGCCTCCTTCCCCAATGGACTAATTCAAAACACCTGGTTCTCTGAAAAGTTACCAGAAGCATATTATGCAGGACAAAGAAGTAAACGGGAGAGTAATATAGATTCCTATCTGTATTTCTTTTTCATTTTCCTCATAGATGTGACTCACTAGCACCAGCCCTTAAAGACATCAGTCCCTTCCTGAGAACTCCTATCAATGGATTCAGGCCCCAAAGTGGGGATGAAGAAACTGCCTAATTTCCCCATACTTCGGGGACACTGGGGCCATAGAAGGGAAAATTCTCCAAGCTGGAACCCAGGCTAGCTACTTCAGCTTCCACTAATTCTCTGGACTCTCTGAGTACATACTCAGTGAGCCTAGAGGATAATCCAACACTGGAACATTTATTCCAGTGGCATAGCAGAATGTTGGATTTGCAGTCTGGAAGACCAGAGTACAAATCCGGCTTCAGACACTTATTAGCCGTGTTACCCTACTTCTCTCAACTTCCATTTCCTCATCTGTAAAATGGAGATAACAATAACCATCTATCTCACAAGGATAGTTGTGAGGTTCTAATGATGACATATGTAAAGTACTTACCAAATCTTAAGTGCTTTATAAATGCTAGCTGTTACTTGAATTAGAATTATTATTATGTTTCCATGAAGAGAAACCAAAGATTGCTTTGTTGATCGCTAAGCCTTTCTTTTGGTTACATTAGGCTTTTTATCAACTATTAAGACAGATTCCAAAAAGCAAAGAGGCATGCAAACACTACCACTACACATACAGTGCTATGCCAGAAAAAGGCCATTTCTGTTGAGGTATATTTCCTTTGGAAGTTGGAAATTTTGGAGGTTAGAAACTTCATTTTGCTGGTGTTTGTGGCCTGTCTATTCCAGAATGGAACCACAAAGCTGAAAGAAAGTGAGTAGAGCTAAAAGAGGAGTGTGAGGGGAGGTCAAAATGCTGTGCTGAGTGGGGTGCTTTAAAAGACAGACTGGGCCATGTAGCTGGGGGCTGCCAGAGATGTAGGCACAGAGAGCCATGAAGAAGCATTGAGAGACAGCCTGGCCTGACTCACATAGCACAGAAGTGTGAGTCACCTTGCCTGGTATCAGATCCATTATCTTCCCTCTCTGGCATGCCTCACCACAAGCACTGGAGAAAAGTAAGGCCAATACTGCCTTAAGTGGAAGTTTCCAGAATCAGAGTGGGACTGCCACCTTAGACTCCACGGGATGAGGCCATCCCTTTTCCCCTATCTATGACTATGAAACTGGGTCAAATGATTAACAACATTTTTCCTTTGCCAGCAAGCTAAAGCAATGGTTCCTTTGGGAGGAATTCAAACTGCTAAGCTACCTCAGTAAACATGTAAATAGTCATTTATGTATAGTCAACTTACTTGCCTAAGCAGTGGGCTGGTGTTTGTGAGTCTCAATACTATATTTTGTTATCATTCTATTTCTTGTAAATATGTGCCCAAATCACAATGTCAGTATATTTTCTTTTTGGGTAATGAATGCAAAGGTGGAACAAAGAAAAAAATCTTAATGGTGAAATAAAAAAGAACTAAACTTAGAGACTTCCTCTAAAGGATGAGCCATACATAAGCTGACTTTGTGGTAGGTCAAATGTCATACGCAAATCGTTCCTCTATATTATAAAATCTTAGCCAGGGGAACTTGAATCAAGATAAGGGTCAGATGTTTTCTGCCATTAAAACAGCTTTCTAAGTATCCTGCTTAGTGGGTGAAGGAAATTCTAGACTTCCTCTACTTACATTTAGTAATGAGATTAAATGTCTCATCTCATGGGGATCTATCCTCATCTCTATATGTGAAAAAAGTATCACTCATCTTTCTCTTCACATACTTGGTTCAGACTTTCCTGGTTAATTTTTTTTTAAAGGAATCTTGTCCCATACTGTTGAGATAAACTCAAGCCAAAACTGTGTTTTTTGAAAGCACCCTATTCTTTGTCTAGATTCCCTCTTATGTCCTATGAGAACCCAGGGGACCGACACAGTTACCTAGACTAACGTTTTCCCAATAACACTTTCTGTTGTACTGTTTATACTTTCCTAAGACTCTTGTGTACCTTGTTAACTTTTCCCTAAAATGTCATTCAAGGGAATCAATAATGCAGCACTCTATTGGGAGGCATAAAGAAAAGGTTTAATTAATTAAGACTATGGGTACTTACTGTTTACCTTTATATATCTATCTATATCTATATCTATATATATATATATTTTTTTTTACAAACTGCAGGCAAAAACTTTTTCTCATAAATTACAAGAAAATGCAGTTAGAGAAGATGCTTCACACTAGATGCTAGGACTATCAATCTGTTGATTTCCTCAAATTCAAGAAAATTTGTTTTCCAAAAGAAAATAGACATGGGATAAGAAAGGCCATGAAATGGTTAGCCTTCAAATTACAAGTAAACCATATCGTGATAAGAGGAAAAAAGAATCAAGACAGAAAATGTTAACAAAGAAGTAGGAAGAGCAAGACAAGAGGCATGCATCAATTTAGGAAAAGGAAGAAAAGTAAGACATCTTAAATTTTAACTTTCATATTAGCAGCTACCTAGCAAGCTGTAAAATACATCAAATTACTTTTGCAACTTTCATTGAGGTTTTGTTTTTTCTGTTTTAAGTGCATATAAAGCCAGGTCTTTTATATGTGTGGGAAGAATCTGTGAAGAAAAACGATATATTCCTAGGAGAATTACTTCCCAGACTGTAGAATGAATGTTAATCTGAATTATTCAGAAAAAAAGACAAATGTTTTGTTCAATAAACCTCAGTGTGTATAACACCCTTCAGTTTTCTTCCTGTTCATTTGGTGAAGTGAAAATCTAAACACTTTAGCAAATAAAACAAATTTATGTCGGCCCGGGTGTAAAAGAAAAAAGAGAATATACCATTCACTTCTAAGGAGTAAGACAAAGCGCAGCTTAACAACAACAATAACAAACAGCAATAAAGCTTACCCAATGGAATGGGATCTGTAGCAGGAGAGGCAAAATGAGAACAGTAGTAGTAAGAACATATTTAGATACAGTATGGAGAGAAACTATTGCATGCAACATTTGTTTGTTCTCTTATTTAAGGAGCCAATGAACAAGAACTTGGTTTCATTTGCTATTTACTCTTACATGGCCTATGCTTTTCTTAAACATTCTTCACTTATAATGATGATTGGAGTTTCGAGTTTCATGTTATAGAATTGATATTTATTATTGAGGGGGTATAGCATACAGAATTTTTATTGCTTCTTCCTTGAGTTAAGTTTTTGTCCACTTTGTACTCATTCTTGTCTTTATCCATGGCTGGACAGAGTCAAAGAGAAGAAATGTAACTCAAATCTCTTAATTTCACTATTTTTGTTTGTTTTTTTGAGTTTTGCTAATAAATGTGGTAGGAAAGCAAAGTTACTCCAACATACTTTTACTATGACCTGGATTTCAGTTAAATATAATACCTTTTTCTTTGTTGCTATTGATACAGAGTTAAGTTCATGAATCTGCTGCAAAAATATGACAAAATTAAACATTTTATCTCAGCCTGATTATAGTCTAAATAAATGCTGTAAGAACTAAAACTCCAGAGGGTGTTTAGTTTTTAATGTTATTAATGAAAATATTTCTAATTCCTTCCATTTGTACAACACATTTAAAAATACTTTCACTTAATGTATTCTCAGCTTATCTTTAAAACTACCATATCAGGGAGGCAGGACAGGTATCATTATTCCCATCTTACAGATGGGGAAAGGAATTAACTGAGAAATTCAGAAGCTTTTCAGGTCTCGTAGGTAATGAATGACAGAACTGGAAATAAAACTCAAGTTCTAGTACTAAAATGATAACCCTGAACTGTGAGATTCCGAATCCCAAAGAGAATAGAGAATGTAAACTTGATCAGTAAGTCCAGGAAATAATCCACAGGCCAGATTTTTACTAAAAAAAAAAATTAGAAGAAAATTAAATGCAATCAAAACACTAAAAAAAAAAACCTATGAACATCATTCCTATTCAAATATCAAACTTTTCATGGCCTAATTAATACTAAAGGTTGAAACAGGGATTGTTGATCAATATTAAAGGTGAACATGACATGGCAGAAAGAATAGTGGACTGTCAGATAGGTTCAAGAATTATATTTCAAGTTTTATATTTGTTGCTATGTGGCAACTGG